ATTGGCCAATTACCGCGCGAGTCGGCTCGGGGTGCAGGTCCCTTCTTTACCACGGTACCTCCGTCCGACCTCCCACCTCCACCCGCGAAGATTGCCCCTTGCGGGTTCCGCCTACGGAACCACCGGTCCGCCACCTATCCGCTCATCCCCATATTCCACAAATTAATATGATTCCCGGTCCGACGATAATTTCTTTCCCCCAGGAATAAATAATATTGGAAGTCTCCCGACCACGCTCAAAGTGTACTCGGTGTCCAAGATCGGCGAGTTCTCACCAAGGTGATCGGTGATCCAATCTCCGTGAGAAAGAGAGAAAACACAGTGAACCCTCCCCGACGCGTCCCTCGAGTTTTCCAGCACACCTCGCCATTTTCCAGAACAGTGGCACGGTAATGGACTCGCGATGTGAGGAAGGAACGCGTCCACCTTGCGAGACATTCCCGGCGCGCATAAATCGCACGCCGCGTCCGCGACTCGGTACATTCGATTTCTAATATCTCGTCGCGGAGTCGCTAAGAGAAGGATCCGTCGTAACGTCGAAGATTCCGCAGGACGTTTCTTCTCGACGGATGCAAGTATAGCCGATCGCGACATTTAACCGAGCGAACCGCTCGCAGCGCCCCCGCAAACCGGCCGAGTGGACAATTACTGAGGGATTGGTATTACGAGAAGTAAGCGCATTGTGCAACGAATGCCAATGTCACGAATGTCGCGGGAGTAATTAGATCAAGACCGCGCTCGTGGATTACCGTTGCGCGGGTTAACGAGGTCGGCGCACCCGCTCGGCGCACGTGCCCGCAAAATTCATGGACCGGTGACGTAGGCAGCCGCTCGATTCCGGGATAACTTCCCATCCCGAAACTCGATTTCCCTTTCGGCTTCCGGTGAATCGGGACGAGTGGAGAATTCGGAGTTTAATAAAAATCGAGCTCGCCCCCACTTCTCGACGGGCAATCGCTTGCCGCGCAGAAGGCCGCGGGGATGGAAGGAAAGGGGGGCCGACGGTTCCGATTGATCCGACCCCGATTAAATTCCGTAGGCATAATCGGCACGTCGCGAGACGTCGAACGGTGACGGCGCTTTTCGAGGTAACCTCAAAACAGAGCATAAAGAGTGCCACTGTGCCCAACGCACGAGGGGCTTCAAAAGTGTGTCGGGAGGGGCCGTAGCATGTAAAATCGGGTCTAAGCGTTTCGCGCAGTTCACGACCGTGTTCTTCGTTACGGGGACGAAATTCAGGATGGCGTGGCAGTGGATAGAATTACGGGACCAATTTGTGGGATTACGACGGGACGACTTATCGGACGTTGGGCTATCACTCGCGATCGACGTAGAGGGGTTAATTGTTTCTTGCCGGTATCCTTGTTCGGATTCGCGCTTAGGTCGTTCTCCTCGCTACCCGCGTTTTCGGCCCACAGGACGAACGCACGTCGAGGGCGCGCGGTTCGCGGGGGTCCTGAAAAGGGTCAACTAATTTTTTCGAACCACGGCCTCCGCGTTTGAGCCGCCGCCTCTCACCGGTTCGCGTATGTAAGCGCGAGTGCGTCGCGTTTACGCGTGCGTCCTCCCGTAGGATTTCAAGGGGCACGAGGGAAAACCTCGACCCGGCGTACGGGCTTCCGTTGACGTTATTAATTATGCCTGCCTCGGGCCAGCGGGTGTATTTTTTCCCCCGAAATTCCCACGGCTCGTCTAGGTGCGAACGCCGCGATTTTGCGCCGAGGCGCGAAGTACCAACCGCGATGAATGGATTAGCCGAGCTCGAAACAAGATTTTTTTTATCCTCCGGTCTATATAGTTCCTCGGTTTTACGAGGAACTATCCGAAACCTCGGTACGGACATTTCCGGGATAAGGGACCGCAAATTTCATTAAAGGGTAACCACCACTCTAGCGGCAGAAAAAAAAAAGACCTAATTCTGACGATTTATTTTGGGAGTATGAAAAAAGGAATTGGATTTCCTTTCAGTGGGTTTATTCAACACATGTTGAATCTTTACATTTTTTTTTTTTTTCACCATAGAATCAACTGCATATTGTTTTTATGATCCTAAAGTATCGTTTAAGCCAAAACATGGATTTTTTCAAAAGCCTAGAGTGGTGTTACCCCTTCAGATCCCCCCTAAAAGGCTGCCTTGAGTAGCTTAAAATGAGCCCTGGTCTCAGAATCTCGGTCTTGGCCTCATATAAAAGGTAAAACTGAATCCGAAAGACCAGGACCAATTTTCCTCGTCACTCTCTCGAAACGAGGGTACTCTCGATATCGCTGATAGCGCGCCCCGCGAACAAAGACTCGAAAATCATACCCGATACCTACATTAATGGAGGTTCGCGCGTCCCTCTTCGCGCGGAAACAAAGAGACATCAGATTGGATACCGGGTCTAGGCAAGAGCCGCGCTTATGTCGCATTTTAGTATTCCGGTGGGACAATGCAGAGGTGCCGCCATGAGCCGAGTCGATTTGCCCGTAAAAGACGCCTGAAAGGCTGACGAGCCCTTAATTGATAGTGAAAGCCCAGAAGAAAGGATTAAACTCCCCCCGGATTTCCCCGTGCGTGTTAACTAGACCTTCCGCGTCCCTTTTGTCCTCGGACAAAGGGAGGTCCCAAAATGCTATCAGGAGAAATATCGAAAATTGATCAATCTTGAGAGCGAGATCTCCCCTCGTGGCGTATCATTTTGTCATATACCCAGTCTTTTCAGTCGAATTTCATTTAAGTCGTCATTAGTCGCACGAGAGCCTGCAAACGAGAGGAAATCCAAGCCGAGCCGTGGCCAAGGTCCGGGCGGGAAATTCGAAGATTAATGGGCCCTAAGAGGGCCTCTTGGGGTTCTTCTCGGAACGGTCGAACCCGAACATGGCGCCAGGCCCACTCCAAATTCCCAGCTCGACCTCGACCACGTGGGCCCGTCGATTCTAAAGCTAGGAGAAAGAAAAAGGAAAGGAAAAGAAAAGAAAAAGAAAAAAAAACAAAGACAAGGAGTATGGTTCTCGCCGACAAACGTGAGCGGCGTCGCAGGGCCGATAAAAACGGCCGGCCAAAACAAACCGGGGTCGAGAGAGTCCCGGCGAAGACGCTTCAACGGGGAAAAGAAAAAGAGAGAGAGAGAGGATCGATTGCCTCGCGAAAACCAGGGAAAGAGGGGAGATAGAAAAAAAAATAAAAAGAAGAAGCGAGCGAAAACTCGAGCGGAACACGGCTCGCTCCCGAGATCCGATGCGACTGTTTTTCTTTGTCCGTCCCTCTCCCTTGCTTTTTTCGCCTCTTTCTCCGTCTCCCCTTGAAGCCCCTCTCTTATGCAATGCGAATATTAAAGAGCCGTAGAGTGAGTTCTGCCGTGAGCGCGCACATCGGTGCGTCCGAATGACCGAACAGGGTGTTCTCCCAAGTCGGCCATTTTTCCACAAATCCGATCTCTAATTTATCAGCTACTTCTGAATATAATATTTAAGTATAAATGTGAATAATTGGAAATAATTTGAACAATCGGAAATTAAGCATACGAGCCTTCCGTCGAATTCGCGTGGACATCTTGCCCTGCACTATCGTTCGTTTCGTGAAATGCCGAATTGCGGGAAGCATCCTGTATACGAAAGTCTGGATGAATGAAAAAAAAAAAAAGAAAAAGGACGGAAAAACGGATAGTAGCTCTGGCGCGCTCGAGAGCTCGGCTCTGACTCACGTGAACAACAGGTGCGTACCCGGCAAGGTGTAAACCCCGGGCTGGATATTTGTCCCTCGCGATTCGGCACACTTTGCCGGCGAAAACCACTGCGTACGTATAAATGCCCGTCAACAAAAAAAAACAGCCCTCGAAAGAAACGAATCGCTGCAAGGCGGGTCGGAAATTTCTCCAGCGATGACGCGATTCGCCTTTATTGTCCCGGAAACGAGTCCGAGCTGGCCGTTCGAAAAGTCCGAAGAAATAAACACGTCGAGGCAGAAACATTCGGTATAATTTGACGAAAGGTATTGCCGAGTGTTTTGGAATGCGTGTCGCCTTGTTTATTATTTATCCTCGCGCCACTCGAGTCCCGTCTATCCCGGAGGGGAGACGAAACGCGGGAGGAGATTCTAATTTAATAAACGGCTGTAAAATAAATTTGGAAAAACCCGAGGCTCGAGAGCGGACACGGCTCCATGTTTATCCGACAAGAGCCCATGAGGCGAATTCGAGGTAAAGAATAAAAACCACCAGAAACAATTACTTTTTTTTTTCCTTTTACTTTCGTTTAAATAAAGAAAATATAAAGCAAGCCTCGACCCTCGTCGGAGGACTTCCTAACCTCACCTTGCGGCTTCTCGAATTTCCGAAGCGGGCCGCGAGGCGCCCCGTGGACGGATCATTTTATATGGATATTTGTACACGAGTTGCGAGCAATAGGACTCGAGTACCTCCTCCTCCCCGTTTGTCCTTCCAGACAACTGCAGTTGCAAGTGCATCGGAGTCAAAACTAAGGTCGTGAAGTTCGTCCATGGAGCGCGCCACTCTAAACCCAAGTCACGTGCGAAGGCGGACTCGATGCTCGGCCGAATTCGCTCTAAATTCCCTGGGGGGCCCTCCGAGAGAGAGAGAGAGAGAGAGAGAGGGGGGGGAATTTCCGGAATTCGACTTCGCCGAGTCCTTAAGGTGATGTAAAAGTGGCGTAATAGAGGTCTCGTTTATGAAACTTTTCTACGAACCGAGTGCATCGAATCGTTTCCGAACTCGGCAAAGGGGGTATAAGGAAGGTCATGATACCCATAAAATGTGAATTTTTTTCTTAAATTTGTCTCGATATTTTCGAAATTTTTTTTTTTACAAAAAATGATATCTCACGAGTATCGGGACCTTTCTTATAGCCTTAATGTCCACGGTGTGAAGTTTGAAACGATTTGGTACACCAAGTTTTAAGAAAAGTTCCATAAACGATTGACTCCTCGGATGGCCGCTTTCACATCCCCTTGTTAGCGCTAAAAATAAACCACGGAGACCACCTGCGTCTCCGGGAGGACTCACCTGGCAGCGGGACGATCGCAGTCTCGGTAGATCCGGATATCCGACTAAGAGGGTAAAAACGCACTCGAAATTTCCACACACTTTCCACCCTTGATAACTACCTCTCCTCTCCCCTCGATCTACACGAGCGCACTGCCCGAATCGCGCGGATCCGCGCGCCGGCAAGATGGCGGCCCGATCGATATCTCGAAGGGTATATCGAGCGATCGCTAAAAGTCGACGCGAGGTAATATTCGAAAATTGCGGGACGCCGTGCGTGATTCACGTGCCGGCGGATCGATTAATCGCAATGGCGCACCGGCGCGGCGCTCGCGCGTCGAACGTGCCGCGTCGTGAGCGCACGTGGAGACGCTCCGAAGTGGACGGCGGGCATTCTCGAGAAGTCGCGAGGCGTCGACCCGACGGCGTCATTCGCGGGTGCACGCGAGATTCGAACGGCGAGACACGGCGGAGAAAGCAGGTGGTCTCGCGAGGAGACGCGCAGCGTTGGCGGACGGACACGGTTACGTGACCCACCCGGGACGAGCGCTCGCGGCCGACTGACAAGTGACAGCCGCGAGCCGGCCCACGAGAGGCACCCACGCGCCCCCTCCCCTTCGCTCCCTTCCCCCTCCCGGCGTCGCGCGCTGGCCCTTCGCGCGCGCGAACCGATCGAACCGCGGCCAACCGGGTTTGGGGAAGGGACCGAAATTCCCCCCCCCCCCCCCCCCCCCAGCGGTTCTCCAGTATGACGAATAAAAACCAACATTTCCACGTATACCTTCCTTGGGTTGTATGTAAACACTGCGGCCGAACCTAACCTAGAATTCCGTGCTCGACACTCGGAACAGTTGGTCGACTGAACAAAGAAAATATGAATATATGTGTGTATGTATGTATGTACGTGGCTTCTTAGGGGCCTGAAATGTCGGTTTATGGGCGGACGAGCAACAAGTAAACTTGTCAGAGTCGATATTCCGGGTAGAGGGGCAGGTGCGAAAACGGCGGAAGGTCAGGGAGATAGCCGAGGGCAAGATGGCGCGTGGGGCGCGGGATTTTCGACGGGAAGGGCCAGAATGGAAGTTCATTTCCCGGGGATCGACCTTCTCCCCCCTTTGCTCGGCTCCTCCGACTTTCGCGGCCGAACTCGAGAATCCGAGGGACGCGTGCCCGAGATGCGACCTGCCGCACGGTGGAATGAAAATATTAGATTGAATTAAACGCGCCGCCTGGCAGGGAATTGCCCGCCAAAGGCAAGCACTCGGAAAGCTGCCGATCGAACCGCGGACGATGAATTTGTAATTAATGTTTGTTTTAAATTATCCCCGCGCTCCGGTTACCCTGTGATTTCGGGAGAACGGATATTCCGCCGGTTGTAATTTTTTCATTTTTTTTTTTTTCAACCCCAGGGAGATTAATCCTAACCACCTCGTGACCTAAAATCGGGTATGAAAAAATTGTTTGGCGAACGTTAAGAATTTATTATCACGTGGTTGAATGTCCGTGGATATTTTATAGCTCGCGGTGAAGGACTTTACGGCGCAAAATTCACGTTTTGCAGGATGGTTCTACCTTGGTCTACCTCAAGGACCGAGTTAGGTTAGGTGCGTCGGGTCAAGGGAAGCTTCCCTCGGATCGATCGACGGCGACCAACGGAATCGCCCGATCCAGCGGAAAGGATCAATGGCCCCCGGCCCCAACGGAAAGTCCGCGCCCTGGCGACCATGGTTCTTCGCTAAGGTGGACTGATCGCGAACTACGTCGCGTGGCGCCTAAGAAACATCGGTCCCTGCACTATCTGCAGCTCGGGTGCATCGGTCGCCGGTAAGGCAGATCTCCGTGGACCTATTACCGGCCCCGAGGACCTCTCTCGAGCGATCGAGACGACGACGGGCCGGTAGATGGGAGGACCATCTCCATGGACCTCGGAGACTGGCTCGTTTTTCATGCAAATCCCGGCGATAATGAAATTAGCTGTAATTCGTACAATCAACTAACGAAGAAAGTTTGTCAAACGACAGGGTGCCGGTTAAGGCGAGGAGCCGAAGAGAAAGAGGAGGAGGGAGAGGAAGAAGAGGAGGTACTCCCGATTCCTTCAAATTGCTGCCTCGACTCTTCGAGACTTTCGCTCTGCTGACATCAGCCACCGAGTTCCGGTGAGAGACCTTCCACTGTAATTCGATTTAAACCTGGGTGGAAATCGAGTTACCAGGTATAAAAATGTACATTTTTCACGTCGTAGGTAATCGCGGAGGAAAATTGTCCCTGGGCGCATCCACTTTTTCCAGGACTTAATAAAACTGATAGAGGTAATGGAGGGAACTTACATTATCGAGTGCATTAAATGGCGGTATACAGTCGCCGGGAGAGAGGGAGAGGTAGAAAAGGAAACTTCCTCCTGGTTGAGAGGGAAAAAGGGATACGGGCTGAAAAAGAGAGACTTCGGCGGAAATCCACAAAGACACGGGAAGGAAACATACGGGAGCGGAACGGGGGAGGAAAAAGCTGGGAGAAACGGAGCAGAGGAACGGAGAAAATACGGGAGACTTGTTTTCCCTCCCTCTGTGAGAACGATCGATGTTATTCGACAAATACTTCCGTGTTTCTAATATTAAATAGAGTTTCAGGAAACGGCGAAGGAAAACGGAAGGGGTTCTTTTTCTTTGGTTAAAGGGAGACCTCGGCTTGATTTTCTCTCTTCGTTGCACGGGTCAAAGGTGCACGGGGCATGTAAAAGGAGGGAAATTCTCTTCCGTCACCGTTAGTGGCCGGCGCGTTACAGTGGGGACTCCTCTATTTTTTCCTTCTTGTTTCAGGCAACAAAGGCGATGATGGACGGCTGACTTTTTCCTACCTTGCACCCCATTCACCCCTCCACGAAAATCGCCCACCTTCCGACGAGGCCGCTCGATACCGGCGATTCCCCTCGGAAGGTAAACCTTTCTTAAACAAGAATCAAACAGAATATACGTTCAAAGCAACGATAACGATATTTAGCCCTGCCTGGAAACTAGGAGAGAAGCAGGGGAAGAAATGAGGAAACGAGTATCTCTGTCCACCCTTCCCTTACAAGACATCCCTGGACGTTGACGCAAGGAACGAAGGAGAGAGCTCCTTGGCCCTATTTCCGACACCCTGGGGTCAGGAAGGATCGAATGAGAGATTAAAGACGAGCGCCCATTGAATGTTTCGTAGGAATCAAAATAGCCGGCGCAGTCAAAGGCAAGTTTAAATTGAAGAGGCCCCGAGAAAGAGGAGCAAGGCGCCTCGCAATTAGGGGCGATATTAGTCAAGATAATTATTTCCCGTGGCGTCGGTACGCCGAGCGACAGGCGAATGGATTCGGCCGGGAAACAAATTATCGCTCGAAAGGTCCGAGTAATTACGCGTCCCGAAAAGAGGGGCGACTCAAGGAAATAAAGCGAAATAAAGGATCCGCTCGAGCCAAGACGGAGAGCGGCGCCGACGAGGAAGACGTCGGCGTATTAAGTGCGCTTTTACCGACGAGACGCCGCGGCGTCGTTCGCCTGATGAAAGCGCTCCTTTATTATTTTCCCGCTACCCCTTTCCCGGCCCGAGGAGGCCGCTCTCTCCATTTGAATCACAAAGGACCGAGGCCCTCGATCCCAGAGGAGCGCCGAAAGCTCGGCCGGTCAACGCCTCTTCGGCTTCTCCGGACTTCGAGCCGTCGCCCAGGGTCGATCCGACTGCGCCACCGATTCCGAGGAAGATCGTCCACACCCCGGATACCCGATAAACGGAAGAGAGAGAGAAGCCAACCGAGTTATCCCGGATATTTCCCGGCATCCCGGCGCTCGGACGTTCTGCCCGAAGGAGCACGCGCGAGTGGAAACGGAGCCAGGATGATTTCGTCCTGGGACGGTGGAATGCCGAAAGCCCAGGAAACGGTGAAATAATGTCTTCCTATTTGTTCACTCCGAATGCCTTCGAGCATCCTTCGAATTTTTCGCAAATCTCTCTCGCCCCGTTCGGTAAAATATCGGAAGGATGGATACCCAGGGTACATCGAAGGTCCAGGGAATGCAGTTAATCGTGTCTATCCTTGGAAAATGCCTCGAGCTTATGGATCAAGCCGAAGCTTTCGAAGGGTGCGATTAAGGTACTTAACTGAGCGTCGGTACCGATGAAGTCGAACCCCTAAAGCTCGGCAGCAACGACGTTATCGAGCAAACGATAACGGCCGATTATCGGATTAACAACCATGTCCGTGCAAGGCGCCATGTACGACACGTGGCTATGTACCTGGTCAATGGATTGATTTTAATGGGGCGGTTTGAGGTGGCACCTCGGTGGAACGGAAGTCGAGGTCCATCCCAGATAAAGGAAACCACTAATCATACATTCTATTTCCACTTTATACCCCTTTCACTGCAAATGGACAATCTGATGTCGGGTTAAAACTCGGTAGGGTCGTTAGAGAGGGTCCGGGGAGTAACGAGGTCATTGCGGCCATGCAATGGTTGACCACGGCGTTAACGATAACGCCCAGTAGCGCAATAACAATGCAATCGTGATCGGTGGGCAAACTTTGTTACATTCGGACAGGTTTGGCATTGACCGATCGTCCAAACCTATCCGAGAGTGTGGCATAACATTTTCGGAACACCCTTCGAGCCCTCAAACTCCCGATCCGTCATCCTCCCTAGGACTCCTCCTCAAGAACCTCGGCATCGTCAGCACTTTCCCGATCTCCGAAAATCCTTCGAATTTCGCCCTGCGCGACAGATTCGAGGTAACTATAAATTTCTGAAAAAATTGTATGAAATTATTTACACTCGAACTCCGGTCTACGAAATCAATTTTTCATTTTTCAGGACACTAAGGCACCTAACAAGCTACTCGAAAAATGGAACGTCTTTACGGCTGTATAAAAAAAAATGTCAAATCGCGCTAAGCATGTGAAACCGGAAGAAATGACGTTCGCAAGCACATATGTAACCGTGGGTGCACCTGTGCAAGGGTGCATCGGTAAAGGTCGGCATGCAGTCGCCACTCGGCCTCGGAGGGAGATGAAGAGAGAGTACGGAGCCGGCGTGTACCGGCAATACGAAGTGCACAGAGAGTACGCGGTATAAGGGAGATCCGCGAGTCGAATCGCATACCGAATGCACTCGGTGCAGAATTGGACCGACAATGAGCCCGGCGCTGCAGTTTCGCGATGAGTCGCGGTTCGCTTCGGGTTTCGGGGGTGTACACATATCGACATATCCCCGAGGCCCGTGGCTTGTTTACACTTTGCAGGGAGTTAAGGGGCTCTCGAGGGTGCAGGGGCGCCGAGTAATCGACTTTCCTGACCCAGAAAGTCAAAAGGGCTTCGTTTACTCCAGCCTCCGACTCCTCCTTGCGGCCTCCTCGGCTGCTTCTTTGGACAGCCGCCCCGAAAGCTATAGGTTGGATCGCCAACTGACCGAAAATTCCAATATTCGTTCACTCGCCTCCAGCCAACTCCAGAGAAGAATGGACCATCCCCGAAGAACCCTAGGATGCTTTATTGCTCCTGTTTACGACCTCCCCCGATTGCGCGTTACGCCAGGAAAAATGTCTCCGAACTTATTACCAGGGGTAGTAGCCAGGTGAACGACCAGGAAAGATACGCCTCCATTCAGGGTGCAAGGGAATTGGGGAGGTTTAGGATTTTAGGGGCGAATGCTCGAGATTAGGTCGTGATTAAATCCGACGGGCGGGTTGTCGGGTGGAGGGATATTCGAGGATGGTGGTCAGGGTGGAGGACCGGCCGAGAGAACTCTCCCAAAAATGACGGGATGGCTGGGAGACGTTCCATCGTTCCGGACTTTTTGGCACCTCGCGACGCTTCCTCGGGCTTTTTTTTTCCAGAGCGATGCGAGGTGTAATTCGCGAGGATGAGGAGAGAATGAGTACAGGATGACGATCCAACCTGTCCGCTTCTTTTAGCCTCCGCTTTTGTTCCGGTGGTTTAATCATCGCAGTCAAGAAAAGTCCTCGGTCGGAAGGGGCGATTCGACCGATCGGAAGGAGCAGTCGGGCGATATAAAATTCCGATCAAGAGGCGGACGATCGGAAGGAAAAACGCTGGAAAATAAAGGAGCTGGAGCGTATCCTGGAGGTGAGAGGAGTCCTTTGGAAAGGATGAGAAAAATCGCTCTTCTTCGATTCTTCAAAAGCGATCAACCGCCGGCAACGATGCCGCCGACGCCTTATACTTCACCATCCCCTAATCCTGGAAACGGGATTCTTCGGATGTCGAGGACGGTCCCGATCGAATCTTGACAATCAAAACCACGACCTTGAGCAGGTCCTCTCCTCCGCGTTTCCTAGTTCCAGGGACTCAAAAAGGAAATAATGGTCTCGCTTTCCAAAAATTCATGTCCGTAGGAAAAAAGAATAAATCCTTGGAAACTTAAACCGTGGAAGCTGTCGCCTTCCCCGAGGGACTTTGAAGGGAGCGAAGAGTAATGGTCGGTCTTGAGAAGAAGTCACGATTGTGTCAGGGACAGGCCATCGAATTTCCACAATCGGCGGTCCTAATCTTCCCGGCTTTTATCGAGACGCCGAAAGAAAGCGAGTGGGCAATAAGAAAAAGGCGAAGGTAAAAGGAGACGACGTTGTTCCGCTCAAAGAGGTAGAAGAAGCGGATCGGTCGATCCTTCGATCGCGGAGAGTTCAACGCGTGGTCGAGGTGGCCGAAAGAGAGAAAGAGAGACTCTTGACGCGCGACGTTGGTCGCTTTTTAGCGCACGTCGCGGAAGCTGACGGGTTGACGGGGAATGCAGGTGCAGCTGCAGCTGTAACGGAGAAAAAGAGAAGATGCTCAGCCGCCAGGGGCGCGGAAGAGTCGGAGGCAGAGGCCGCGAGACAAAAGAGAAAACGTCGAGGAGAAGAAAACGGTTCGACGAAGAGCAACAAGGGAGACAAAAGGAGGCGGCCGCGGTCTCGAGGAAAATATTTAATCCGCCAAGGAACGAAAAACGGCCGAGCGAAGGAGGGCGAAGAAGGGCCTTTCGGGTTGGCGCGATGGAGATAAAAAAGTAATAATAAAAAGCAGGAGGTCGAGCGCCGTCGAGTCGAAGCGCGAATCGTCCCGCCGGAAGTGGAGGTGGTCGTTCGAGAACAGCCGTCTCCTTTCCCGGAAGTGCCGTAAATTCGACGCGAGTCCCACCACCGAGCCACTCCGAACATAAAACTACCCCTTCGGCGGTCGCCACCAACTCCGCCAACCGCGTACTCCACCCTTTCGAGTCGACCCTTTCGGCCGACCCGACGTTGACGCGTTTCCGCGCTTTCACCTTTTCCGAGTGGCCACGCTAATATATGGAGAAAACGGCAAAAACCAATACCCGGGGTTCTGGGAGTCCGGCGCCATGACGCACCACCAGTAATTGCACCGACGTGAGAGAAGAACACCTTTAAGATACAAGTGTTCTCCAATGGGGGAAAAAATTCAGGAACTGAGACATTTTACCCCGTATTATTGGATATCGACATAGGGATTGGGTAAGGAAGACAAGAACAACTGGAGAATAAATTCCTCGATGATCGACCCATGCCTCAATTTGATCACAAATATTCTTCTACGTCTCGAAGCAGAGAAGCAGCTTAAATGAAGTTTAATTATCGCCCCTCTCTGTTCCCTCCGATTCTCCGATCGCCTCCGGAAAAATGTAGGTGATTAGTCCCGAACGAATGAATAATCCGCGTAAATTATGTCGCAGGATTCAAAGCAGCTCGTTAAGGAAGTAATGCAGCGAGCGTTCCTTTCTCGTTCCCTTCGGTAATCTCGATTGCTCCAGGTCCACGTTTATTGCAAATTCCTGACATAGATCCGAGTACCAGGAACGGAATAAACACATACACTCCTTCAAGGAATCTATTGGGGCTAATTCTCCCGGAGATCTCCTTTTATCGCGAGGAGATACTTCCGAACGCAGTCGTTTCCGGGAGTTAAGAAAAACGGTGCCAACTTTTCCAAGGAGTGCTCGGAAGGGCTGGAGGTTGGGCCGAGATTAAGTTTCGTTAGGGGTCGAAACTTGGACCTGCAACTTCCCCTGCCTTCTCTCCTCCACTTCCCCGATTCTTCGACCTCGTTCCTCACTTATCGGGGAAACATCCGCGAGACGTCCCGAGGATTAACTTTTTGCCCCTGCAGTTTCGAGTCCACGAGTCACCCCCTTCCGTCCGGGTTGCGGATGCATTTTCCGGAGGTAGTAATCCATGCTTTCCGCGCCAGGAATCGGCTCTAAGGGTGGGAAAACCAGGACTCGGCCATCCAGGAGACGTCCTGGTTCGCGGAAAAAGAGACATCTCGTTTACACGAGTCAACCTACGGGAGAGCGGTTTTACAGCTGAGCTTCCTTCGAGGGCGCGTCGAGTCGGAAGCTCGGCTGAAAGATACGACGTCGTTTCTCGAAGCCATCGACGTGTTCCCGGTATACGGCATAAGCCCTTCGTGCATCGCGAGAGGGTGGAGAAAACTTCCCGAGGTGCGGAAAAGCGCCCTCTTCGGCACCCCCCGAGGAAAGCTCGTTTCTGGGCGCGAAACCCCGACGAGACCTATCGATGACCGATCGTAAAACAAAGCGTTATGCTGCCCCATCGGCGGAAGCGAGGGAAAAGGAAGGAGACTTCGAGGCTGGCGGGGCCAGGGAAAAGCGGAGAATTTCCGTCCATTCATCCCGTCCGATGGGCAAACTCCGCTGGCGCGTACCACTTCGCGTAACGAGTTCGTGCGATTTTCCGCACTCCGCCGCCGGAAAACGGCCTCCGAGCTCCCCGCGAATTTCACTCGGCCCCCGCGGAATCGATACCCATCGGATCGATACCCATTAGCCTCTGTACTCCTCTTTCGAAATTTTTCTTCGCAGAGGGAATTTCGGAGAGCGCCCCTGGAAACGGCGAGAACTGCCCGACACTCCCGATGGGATATTCCATCGAGTTTCTCCTTATTTTCCTTATTCTAATCATTTCCCTTGTTTTTAGTATTTCCCCTGACTTTCTCTGATCTTCCCTCATGTTCCCCCCGGACCCTCTCCCACTCCCCTCTTCTATGCAGCGGTCTGCAATTTTGAAGGCTTCCGGTCGGACCGGAATAAAAGCCAGGGCAAAGAGGAGAACCCGCCAATCACGGGGTTTCGCCTCATATCCAAAGGCAATGAAAGAGGCTCCCTGGCTCCGCTTTTGTTTCCCACGACAGAAATGACGCTCGTTTGATACCATTGTTGCGGTCCGAATGACCGAGTGCCGGGTCCTTCTTTTTTCCACCTGTTCACCGATGTGCCCTTTCGCCTCCTTGTCGGGTGCTCCTATTTTTCTCAATTATTTCCCACCGGTGAATCCAGAAACTCGTCGTGTTTCCCTTTAAAGAGGTATCACCCCGTTTACACCCTCTCCGGGGTTGGCGACACCTTCTGACAAATGGTACCGCGCCAAGGAGCGACTCCTACCTTAGATTAAGGGCTAGCCTGGTAGTACACCCTGAGGACATTTTGCAGGTAATATTCCTGCGGGGTGTTTATTCCATCGGAAAGTGGCTTCCTGCTAGCGGCCGTTAACGAGAGCATTAGGGGAGAATCGACCAATCCCCTTCCAGCCCTGTGCACGAGAGGTACCCTGTTGTTCCACTTTTATCGTAAACGAAACAAATGACGCTCGCTCGATACTATATTGCGGATAGTACGTGGATACGAGCCCTCCGCTCAACCGACTCGGGTTCAACCCTTGTTCCGGGGGAAAGATAGCGAAAAAATCGGAGAAATCCTGCCACCCTCTTTTCCAGAGATTATTAAATGTCAAGCGGAAACGTACACCGCGCCGGGGCCAATTTACGTAACCCCGTTTACACCCCTTTCCGCGAGACCCCCGAATTGAGTAAGTCGCCCTAACAAGTTAATCCTGGGAATTCAAGTCTAGTCGAACAATAACCACGACGTGTTCCCGGGAACGGTTTCCCCGGTGACAAAGTTGGCGATGCGTCGCGACGTCGTCGTCGAGTTCGAGATTGAGCGACGCCGAAGCGCGAGCCGGAAATAATGGTCTGAACGCGAGGCGACGGAAGCACCCGGTACATTTCATTAACCGGTCTGCGTTTCTGTCAGATCCTGGAGGCTGTTGGCCCCGCACCCCCGTACAGAGGGGGTGCAAGCGACAGGAAGTAGGAACATAATTCAGAGCGCATCGAATAGGTGCCCGTCCAGCTCTGCGGCCTAACGCGACTGCGTTCTCTGTTTCCAACTATTTGCATATCCGCGAGCAGTCCCGAGGTGATTTGTAATTGTAATTCCAGGATCGATTCCCGACCAGCCCCGAAGAAAAGTCCGCGACGAGGTCTTCGGGGTTGGTCCTTCTCATCTGGAAGAAAGAGAGCAAGAAGCACGAAGAGGGCCTCGAAGAAGATCTTGAAGAAGGGATTGACCATACCTCGGCTCCGATGATTTTCCACCCAAGGGGCACGGTGGAAACGGGGGGGAAATTATGAAATTTTCCACGCCTGTAAATCTCGAAGATTCCGAGGATTGTAAAGTCCAGGATCGAGATGAAACTACGAGAGGGATGGCTCCCAGAGGAGCTTTTACTCCCGTCGTGAATATGACAGAAGATGCCGGGATATCTCTGGACTCCCAGAATTGCGATTCTGAACGTTATCGCTGACTGCCGAAAATTCATTTTCGATGAGCCGATACTGGCCGATTAGGCGTCTGGAGGGGCAGTTCGCGAGGGTAGTTGGCCTCTCATAAAGCGAGACTGGCTGCTCCAAGAGCGCCGTAAACCGCGATATCAACGCGGCGGTGCACCCCTAAAATTCCGGGATTCTGTGTTTTCAGGGAAAATTGAATCGGATTTGGGACCTCGAACTGCGTTTATACGAGGATAAAGCCACTGTGGCGGTATCGCAGAGCCGGGTGCACTAATGACATGCGGAAGCGCGGGGGTGTTAAGGGCTATCAGGGGTGGTCCTGGCTGGACGTTTGCAGGGTGTTTCCACTAACAGGGGAAACGAGCCGGCAATGTCTGCTCGCCTTCGGGGCACAATCTTAGACCAGGTAGTTAAATTAGACGGAAGGGGTGGATCCGCCAGTTAGGGGGTAGGGGAAACGTCGAGAGAAATCCTGGCCGTTTGTTCCCACCTATTAGCGACGCGGTAGCCATTGTTCCCCCTGGATGCGCGTTCCTCAACTCCAAATAAATATTAGATTTCATTCCGGAGTCCCCCTGACAGTAAATTACCAGAAATCCCATCCAACCCAAAACGGCTAAGGGAGGAAATGGTTTACCCGACCGATAACCCTCGCTAATATATTTAAAGCTGAAAACGTGGCAAAGTACATCCTTGTTGATCTCTTCAAGGCCCTTTTCCGCTCTTCAAGGTAGTTTCAGAATCCCCTTTTTCCTCGGATCTCCCGTGGATTCGACTCTCTCTTTCAAGGGTTTCTCCACCTTCCTCCCCTAATCTCTTATGGATCCGGCGCCCCTTCTGCCTGCTCCTGCTTTCCATGGAAACTCTCTCTCTCTCCTCCCTTTCCATCTCCTTTTTCCCTAGATGTGCCCTACGGTTCTCCGTTGATACGCCTGTCCGTTCTACTTTCCACGCTCGGAAAGTAGGCCCAGTGGGGATTACAGGACGGGCTGAGAGAGAGAGAGAGAAACGGAGGAAAAGAGATAAAGGGAAACGGAGACAAGTATGTATGCGAGGGAAAGAGAGGGACGGGGAAGAGGAAGACGAACTCGCATTCTAGCTGTGCGCAATAGCTTTCGCTCTGTACGGCTCGCTATATCGGCCGAGGAGTATGTCATTTAGTGGCTTTGTTTAATCCTCTACTACTTCCCGCGGGATTGCTATATGGGAAGTAATATGGGTACACTGAGCAACGACGTTCTCGTCGCGGCGAAACGATGGAACATTTTATGGTTAGGGAGAAAACGCCGGCGAGCTTCTTTGCATAAAACAACGCGTCGAACCTTCGCCCCGAATGCGAGACCGATATAGCGCGATGGAGAAGAAAGGGTTGTCGGGGAAAAAGAAATTTAGCTGTCCCGTATCGAAGGAAATCGGAGGTACCCCGGGATTTCCGACGACGTCCGACGATGAGAGTCGATAACCCTTTACCCCGGAAGCGACCAATTCGCCGTGCTCAAAATGAGAAATAGCGGTCATTCGTCTGGCCGGCCCTCGGTTTAAGTGGTCATTCGCTGCCTGTACTTACCCCACAGAATTTCCCACGGGGTCATGAAGGGCAGCTTTATCCCCGCTGAATTTCTCCCAAAGTGGGGAACAAACCGTGAACGCAATTCCCACACAAGGAGCTTTTTCGCATCGAATGAGGATTCGTAAACTCGTCCCCGCCGGCTAATCATACTCCGCGGACTCTCGCGAGTATATATTTAAATTCCGTTTCCGGGGGAAACAAGGGGAGTGAATAAAGCAAACTTACCCGAGTCTTCGGTGTCTGCTTTAGGCCGATAGCTGGCTGGCTCCTGTTGCTCTGAAACAGTCGGAAAGGACGAGTCGGAATTTAGTATGTGCCGGAAGTCGGATCAGCCGTGCCGAGAAAAAGCTCGATAAATCTCGCCCGACCGAATTACCCGCGCAAGGTGTAATTGCGACATTTACTCCGACTACGTGCGGAAGGAGAGAACCTCCGAGACCGCTAACGGAGGATTAATTATTAGCTGTGGCGTTGCATCGGGTAAATCGGGCACGATTGTTAAAATAGACATCGCGGATATAAAACTACCTTCACTGCATCCGGTTAACGCTATAACGAGGTTAATGTCGAAGTACGTATACGTTCAATGAGCGCGTCGCCCGTAATACCGGAAACTGAGGAAGAGACAACGGCGGCAAGTAACGAAGGCAGGCGATAGAGACGCTTGCATACGCAGGGTTAATTAAGGGGTTTATCTCGATTAATTCCAAATAATTGCATCTCGTGATTAGTCCAATTACAGGGATTGCACCATCGGAGAAGCGGCGACACCTCCTGCTGCGCGTTAAGCCGACCGACGCCCCTTCCGGCGCGTCGAGCGGCCATATTGGATCCTGAATCGTCTCGAATTTCGAGACCGATCTTTCAATAAAAATCTCTTCAAAGCTGTACTTTTCTCGCTGGAAATCTCTTACGCATATGTCTATGCAATTTTATGGGGAAATTGGGGGATATCGATGGCGTGGATGGATGAAAGCTTTCCTACGTGCGAGCGGATAAAGCGGCGATTTGGGCGAGGCACGAGCCAGCGATGGTTGCTCGTGATGTCAAATAATCGCAGGCGTAATTCAGGTGGTCCTTCCGTAAAAGTCTGTTAAGAGCTGTCCGGGACTCGTAAAGACAATAAAAGTTAACGTTTACTGGGCCGCTTAGGCCATTCCAGCGGTCAGTTTCCACCGGGGAAACTGGCCTCGTAGGAAGCGATCGTAGCTCGTTGTTTTCTCGCACCCTCGTGGCGAGAATTTCGCCACCGAGCGCGTTGCTTTATCGTTGTGATGCACGACTTCGTCCTCGACGTCGACTTTTTTTTATTAGGGACGGTTTTTCCACCGACGAGTCGGGGGCAATGTAGCGGACGTAACTGACGAAAGTTACCGGGACGATGTAGGTACGACTGGATGTCTGGGAAAAATGTACAACATGGAAGGACGAATCCGCACACACGGTCCGTGCTTGGGAAGATTGCTCGTCGACGGGATAACCGAGTATTTGTCAACAGTCGACAAATACTCGGCGACTCGATTTTCCGGGGGATTCATTAAATTCGGGCACGTTCGGGGGGCACGGTCAGAAACGGTGGCAACAATTATTCCGATCGTCTCGATCATATTTCCCGATTGACAGATTCGGCAAAGTGTAATGGCATTTATCTAGCCAGATTTGCATTGTTAAGCCGATATCGTAAAGGCGGCTCCAGTTTATGGGTAAACGGATCATCGTTTATCTATCTGTTTCGCGCCATAAAGGACGTTCCGAATTTACGCATAACGCGTAATCATGGCGACCGAGCAATCCTGCGCAAATTAAATCGACAAACGCAGATGGGACCTCTCGCTATCCTCTTGGCGGAGTCCGTCGTTCGGGTCGACGTCGACGAGAGCGAGTTTTATCAATTTATTAATTAAATCGAGGAGGTACACTGGCGGTCATGAATGGCTTCCTCGTGTATAGAGCGGGTACGAGCTCGTTTGATAGACCAATTTGAAGAGAAGAACCTTCCTCGTCGTGCTGAAGAGATTGCAGGTGTAAAAAAAATTCATCGCGGACAGGGCAGCCCGAAAACGGGCTGAAAACATCATGGACCCCCTCGAAAATCGCTTCAAACCCCTGTATCTCCCCTGAAAAAAAATCGCAACCCCTCGTTCGATTGACCAATTTGGAGGGATGTACCTTCCCCGTCAAGCTGCAGTGAAAGCAGGTGCGAAAAAAGCAGTACAAAGACGTAGAAGCAAGTGCAATCGACGACCGCGGCATCGGGTCGGAGTCTCGGTACTCGGTACTCCACGATCGGCCGACCTACTTCTCGTAATTACGAGGCGTCCAGCTTTCTTAACCTCCCCTTTTCTTCCCGAGACTTTTCTCCGAGGGTAAGCTTCTGTCTCGCCCCCGTGCCTCCTATCCAGCCTCCCTTTTTCCTCCCGTGGAAAGCTTTCTTCGAGCTTCCGCGTCGCGCCGGGTTGTGACTCGAACGAGGGCCGAGTTTACGCGACAAAGGCGAACAATTACGAGTGCCGGCTCCTAAACGCGCGAAAACCTCCACGAGGAGGTCTGCCCCTTCGTTCTGCGTCCGCAATCCCGAAAAAACATCTCGGAAAAGATTTCTTTCGCCTCGCGCCTGAATTAATTTGACCTCGAGGCGGAACGGCGCAACCGCGACTCCCCCTCGACGCAAATTGAAAGTAAATCGATCACAGGGCGAGCCGAACGATCGGAAAACTCTCGAGGGACCGCCGGTCTCCAGGGTCCTTTTTTCCGTCCTCCTCTGGAAACTCTCAAAGGAAGGTGCTTAAAACTTGCCATCCTCCGCGGAACAATGGACCGACAGGAAGATCCTTCGCAACCGGGCCAGAGTTATCGACGGCACGACAGTGATTACCACTCGACGTTAATAAATGCAGAAAATAAAACGTGGACGCGTCAATGGCTGAATCTGGGCCGCTCAAAGTTCCCTCTTAAATTCCTCCCAAGGACAATTTTAAAAGCTCGCCGAGGGATCCGCACCCCGTTGCTTCCGCTTTTTTAAGGCGCGCACTCGACTCGTCGGAGATCTTAGGTCGAGTTCCGATGGAGCTCGGAGTCTCCGACAAAGGTGCCTTTCCTCTCCGTGAATGGACGAGCTTTTTCTCGAGTTTGGAATTGGACTTCGAGTCTCGTTGCGGAACCCGAAGAGGGTGAAATCGAAGGCGAACTCGAAGGCGGACCCCTCGGTGCTCACCTGGGAGCTTCTCCTTTTCCTGGAAGAAACATTTTTAACCCCCCTCTTTCCTTCTTCCCCTTCGCCTGAAAACGCGGCGAAACTACGGAAGAAGTAATCATATTTAACTCGGCCGAGTTCCATCTCTTCTGCGTTTAACTCGTGATTTTAAAAAATCATCTGCACCGATCTTGATTAAATCTTCGTCGATCCCGGCTCGGTCTTAAGCCGGAGTTGGTAAATTGAAAATAATACGGCAGGAGGGTTTCGCGTCTCCCAGGGGCACTCTCAGCCTCCAGCGACCTCGCGGGTCTCCTCCAGGAGCTCGCGTGACCTCCTCCGAGGGGAACGGCCAGGATTTTATTTTTTCCCCGTTTTAAAGAGGTCTTTTGAAACGGATTGCTCGTAAGGGATGGCGCGTTAAGCTTTGACGGCGCTTCGACTCGGAGAAACGATGGACGTGCCGAGTTCTTTTCCCCGGATGAGGACTCGGAGGACTCCTTCGCCGAGGAAGCTGGATCGATGAGGTTCCGACCTCGTGGAAAGTCGAGGTCCGAGGCGGAGGATGCCGCGGAAAAGCGGCGATATGAGACGCGCCGCTTTTCGGGGAGCTTTTCCCCTTTTTCGCTTAGGCCAACGACTCTTAACCTCTCGCCTCCTGGCCGGTGAACTTTCGAGAGCGTGGAATCTTCTCGGTCGAGGAAGTTTGTCCTAAAGTTTAACCCCTGCCCCCGGGTCTCCTCTCTCTGATATCGCTCGGGTTCTCCCTTCTCGATGTTTATTTTCCCTTCTAGTTTCCCCGTCGCCTTTTCACTCCGTCCTCCACTTAATTAAGTTGCCGCCTTAACGCTTCACGATGTCCTGGCACCTCTCGATTCCGCCCTGATATCTCCGTCGGAGCCCTTTCAATTAATGACCATCCCGATAAGGAAACCGTCCATCGAGGTCCTAGACATAAATTGGCATCGAAACTCCAGCTCTAATGAAATCGTGAATTTCCTTTTCTTCCGGGTCCCCTTCGGGGTTCTCTTCGGATTCGCTAACTCGACGGCGGCTTTCCCGGGGGATGGCGTAAATTCGCACCTGCGGAAAACGCGAAATCGATGCAACGTTAATTATTCTCGCGAGCGGACCAATCGGCGATTTCCCTCCCACCGCAATCAGTGAAACTTTGATTCGGCTTGCGGTACTCTCGAGCGTTGCGCGGAATCTCGCGTGTATGATTCGCACATCGCGATTTCCAAAGGCCGTAAACATCGTTACTCTAAGCACCGCTCGTGTGGGTACTCTTGTGTCAAATAAATGCTCCGGTTTCGGGTTCAACGAATTGCGCGGCGATGCCCGATGCCCCAGGTCACTGGGTCTCTGAGAAAAAGTGCCGCTCCCCGTATTTTCCAAATTTACCCTAGATTCGCTTCTGCATTAATGTGCTCTCGAGCCCGTTTCGCGAATATTTCTGAAGCCACCCCTGCCTGTGCCAATTACCCCGATGACCCTGAAACGCTATCCCGCGATACGCAGGGCTGCGGATTTTAATGACTAAGAGTGCACTCCTTTTTAATGAGCAAAGCAGAGTCGTGTTCCTCGAAGTGCTTTCCTATTAATTCGGAGGAGACGCTTTGAATTCGCCGCGGATCTTTGCGAAAGGCATGGAGTGACCATCTCTCCGGTGACATTTCTCGCGGAAGTGACCCAGTCAACATCGATTTTTATCGCCGCGATTTCGCGACTTCGATAGGGTTTTTCAACCGTGGATAACTCCGAATGTACACCTCGGCATGAAGCGGCAAACTTCGCGAGCCAATTGAAACTAAACCGGAAGCCTCTAAACTAATTCTAGCCCGGCGCGAAGTTTTGCGATCGAGTTATGGAAAATTTACGGAATACACCGGCACGCAGACAGACGGGGTCGTAAACGCCTCCTTGCCTCCACCCTGGGTATGGAAAGCCGGTTAAAGGTGCTCCAGGAGCATCCCTTCGAAATTCGCTTAACCGGTCCGTCAGGCCTGAAGACTCGTTAACGAGGCATTGATTTAATTACCGGTCGACAATTCGAGAGTTTAATTGCACTTCCGGGCACCTG